TACTTCAGCGAATCGAAGAGTTTTAATCTTCTACGTCAGATGAGAACTTATTCACAAAAGTTAGTAAGCAAGCCATTTGAATAGAAATTCATGCATCCTATGGAATGGCCACATCTACAACCAAATTGCACTTATACGTGTCTCGTTGGTTGCATGCAGTTGCATAATATTATACATTATACAGCGTGTCCCTAAAAGGTCTTTACAGAAACTTACCACATATTCCTCAGACCAGATTTCATTCAAATTCAGTACGTTGGCATAGCTTTATTGGGCAATAAAAATAAAACCCATATGATATGATAAATATAATTCCATGGCCGTAGAACTTGATTTTTCCAGTAAATAAACATCTGAAACTCCTACGCGAATGGAAAGAAAGGGGTTTGAATATGAAATTCGGGTTGCGTAACTTGTTCACTACAAAAAAGGTACCTTTGATAAAATTCGATTACTCTCATGGTTTCGGCAAAATTTAAATTTTAGTAATTCAAAGCATCAGTTAACATTGCAATCGATATTTCATATTCATTTGGTCTGAGGAATATACAGTGTGTCCGGAAATTATGCGCAAAAAATCAAGGGGGTGATTCTACATAATGAAATAAGAAATTCATTTCATATGAACCTAGGTCCGGAAATGCATAGTTCTCAACAAACAGTGTGTTGAAACTTTTAAAAAAGATCGTTTTTTTTATGAATATCTCAAATGTCTCCACCGATTTTCTTGAAATATGAAAATGCTATTTTTTGTCATGAGGGGCTGATATACCCATAATTCAATTGGAATCTTGGAATCCAGTGGCGTCCCAATGAGCAACCTACCGAATATTATTGTCAATAAAATTTGCGCCACTGATTTTTTCGAATTCTGTATCATCATAACCTATTGACTAACTATAAATACAACATTTTGGTATCTTGAATTGTTTTGCTATTTTGCTGCGTTTCCATGGGAAAAAATGAATACCAATTCATTGCATAAATGTGTGCAAAATATTGCTTCAAAAACAGGGGTGAAATTAAATGTGTGATCCATGTCCATAGACGTAGAATAAGAATGAAGAATAATTATCTTCATATATTTTATAATATATGTTTGACACACTCTACACTCAGTATATTGAGAACTATGTATTCTCGGTCCAGGAAGGCGTAGTTTTCGATAATACAAAGTGTGTCAAACATGTATTATAAAATGAATCTCCATTATTATTCTACGTCTATGGACATGAATCACACATTTGATTTCACCCCTGTTTTTGAAGCTATGTTTTGCACATTACAATGAATTGGTATTTATTTTTTTCCACGGAAACGCGGAAAAATAGCAAAACAATTCAGGAGATCAAAATGTTGTATTTTTAGTTAATCATCAGGATATGAAGATGATGAATTCAAAAAAATCAGTGGCGCACATTTTATTGACAATAATATTTGATAGGGTGCCCCCGGGACGCCACTGGATTTCACAATTCCAATTCAAATTATGGTTGAATCAGCCCCTCATGTCGAAGAATATCATTGCCAAATTTCAAGGGAATCGGTGGAAGAATATCTGATATATTCATAAAAAACAGATTTTTTCTAAAAAGTTTAACACACTGTATCTTGAAAACTATGCATTTCCGGACCCAAGTATATATGAAAAAAATGTCATGTTTCCACATGCAGAATCACCCCCTTGATTTTTTGTATGGTAAGTTTTTGAAAAGACCTTTTAGGGACACCCTATATATAATGTTTTCAATTCCCATTCGCTTCGATTCATTTTGTAGGTTAGCAGGTAGGTTAATCCAATTTTCGGAATTATGGGATCTTGTCGAAGAGAGGAATTATGAGTTCGTAGAAAAAGTATGGTACGTAACGTGATTATAAACTATTCTAGACACTTGTTCATCCAACACTCGCTACGCTCTTGCTTAAAATACTCGTTTCTAAAATGACGTTCATAACACTTGTTACATAATACACTATTGTGCAACTCAGTTTCACAAAATGACGCGTTTGCAAACTGGTTTCGTAAATATCTGTTAACTGCGACCACTGTAGAAGATATGCAAGAACACACGATACACGACATCAATATAAGTTGCTCATTATGCACGGTAAGCAAAACGCACGCAGTTATGCTATTTAACATAATAGTAATACAATCAAAAAATGAAGATGTTACAATGTCACATGACATCTGAAGTCTTCTTATATATTCATCAAAGTTGTGGAATATAAATATATACAGTATGCCGGATGAAAAAGTGGGCAACAATTGGAACACTTTTCTTTTCTATATTTTAGGTAAAATAGTCATTCTTGATAGAAAGTTCTGCAAAGCCTAAAATATAAAAAAAGTAAATATCAGGTATTGAATCTTTTCAGATCGCATACGAGGTATGCCAAGAAATATTAATTTTGCCCAAAAGAGTATGTACACAATTGTCATTTGATAATTGGAACAGATACAGGGTGATCAGAATTCTGAATCTTGAACCACACTGTATTAGATTTAATTAAATGTCAGTAGATAGTAAATCAGAAGTTGAGATAGGGACATTAAAGCCGTTTTGACCAATAATGAATAGTTTCGACACAAAAAAATCCTTATGTTGAAAAATCTCTATTTTGAACACCCTATATCTCTGTAATCATTACCGCTAGACCCCAAGTGTGATGCATTGATGAAATCAGCTCTTCAGGGAGAATCTAAAAATACAATGGAATACAGGGTGTTCCATTCGAAAAAATCAAGTAGTACTCTGTAGATCGTTTGTTCAGAGCACCCTTTTTCTGAAAAATCAATTTAGATGATTTTTCAAATTTTTTAATCGGTTCAAAAATGAGTGAGCTAGAGGGGAGGACATTTATGGTGAATCACCCTGTAAAATTATTTTCGACAATAGCGAAAATTATATTAGAAAGAGAGGTTGACTTTAATTGAAAACTACCTTCAAATATTCAATTACATCTATCTACTATGAAAATCATGTTTCATTATATTTTACAATTTCTGATCGATTTATATGGACGCTGTATAGGTAAAGTATAGTACGTAATGCGTGTTGTAAAGCAATGACGCACTTATGGTAATTATTTCACTCGTGCGTAATATGCTCTTTACTACACTTGTTACGTAATTTACTAATTAATCCCATCTCCACAATTTTTGCGAATTAGAGTTTTTCTTCTAATCTTCAACCACTATATGAAATTTGAGAATCCTCATGAACTTCTACATCAGATTAATTAATTATTCATTATGTGTATTGTTAATTTATAATTTGTTTGCAACTCCCAACGTGACAGAATTATGCGTTGTCCTATAGTCTGACTTCAGAGAATCCGTGTATGGTGATGTAAACAGCTTTAATCTTCTTTGTCCATTACAGGACGGGAAGAACAAGGCTTCGACTGTAAATTCTAGGTGCATCGTAAATTACATTAATTGCTATCCACTGCATCAATCAATCTTAATTACTGTTATGTCTTGAGCAATAGACTTACTGAAAGAATATAATTGTTTGGAAAATGAATATGTATGAAACTCAATTGCAATGGCTATATAGACCCACAAAGCAGAAACTTCAAATTTCCACAATACACATTTTTCATGATCTTATGCAACGTTGCAAGATTCAAATGAACAATGATTTCTATAGTGATCGACAAGTATATATACCGAAAAAAAAGTCCACTCATAGTTTCTGAAATTTTCTCCCAGAACATATTCGTTTGGGATCAGTATACTAGTCGACTCATACACTAACTATGATTAATATATTTTTTTCTGACATAGAATCATCACCAAAGTTTTGAGAAAATCGCATCATTAATAATTGAGATATTATAGGGTGTATTCATATAAAGCGGGACACACTGTATATAAATAGTAATTGAAGTGAATAAAAGAATAAGACATATATTCTGCTCTTTGTCTTTTCAATTTCCCTAGTAGCGCCTGATTGTCAGATACGATTTTAGAGGTTACATTCTCTGTCAAATCAATCATAGCCGTAGATGGAAAATAGAAATAGGGTATAAACACCCACTTCAATTAATAGTGATACACTTCTAGCAGAACAACTGTTATATAAATGAAAATAATGCATGTAACAACATTTTAATATTAGAAAATATACATGCACATATGGATAAATTTATAGCTATAATTCCTTATTGTTTGTGAAACTGTACTCCAGTGATGAGTATAAAACATGAAGTTATTAATATTACATCAAATGTATCTATTCTCAATATACAGGAAGTAACATAAGTACGTGCAAGTGAAGTATTTTTGGGACAATTTAAAGAAATAAAGTCTATATAAGCATAATTGTGTCCGAAAATGTTTCATTTTGGAGATACAGGGTGTTGAAATACAGAGAACAAATCATTTTTCGATAAACATTTCATAGGAGTTCTCAGCAACTTCACTTAGTGCCCTAGGAACTAAGTAACATGGATCGATATAGAAAAATTGTAAATATCTCCAAAACGATAAACTCTAGCATAGTTGTAAGGCCCTTATGATAATTCCCTTGACACATAAATGCCTATTCTCATTGGTTTCATCTTCACGTTTATAAAACGTATTGTCAAATTCAAACAATTTTGAATAAAAAGCGCGGGGCGACTATGGTGCTATTGTCACAATGCAAGGTGTGTAACTTGATAAATCTAAACATTCAAAAACCCTAACAGTTGTCATTTCTGTGTCCGAAATTTTATCAAACTAATACCATCCAGTGACTCTAGAACACACTATGCTGAAATCTGGGGTCACACTTCAACATAATATGCGCCCTTTGAATATGAAAGATAATACTTTCTGAACTTCATGGACCGTGAAATAGTAGACATTTTGATATATAGGCCAATGTATTACTTCACCCTAGCAATTGTGGATCCACTCGTGGAAAAGTTGCTCTCCCATTTGTCCTCTTCCCTCGCATAAGATGTAATAATTTATTCTCCCTATAGCTACGTTCTCTTCTATTTTTCAGGAAGGTCGACATCATGGGGTGCTTTGGAAGCAAAGACAAGTTGTCCAAGGAGGATATGGATTTTTTAAAATCGCACACTCGCTACGACGAAAGCACAATCAAGGAGTGGTACAAAGGCTTCAAGGTAAGAAACTTTTTCGTTGTTCACAGAGTTCATAACTTGTATGTATTTTATGAGTATGAATAGCAGGCGATTTTTCAAGGTGGCTCACCCCTTTAAATTTTTTATTATTGAAAATGGAAAAACGAAATTTGGGGGTTGTGAATATTATAGTTCATATTTGCCTTGCCGTACTTCCAGTTCGATTGGAAATGAGCCCAGCTTTCGATTTTCAAATAGCACACCCTGTATATTTTTACTTATTTCGATCGAGAATGATATTCTGAATCCAACAATACCTCACTCGTCAATATTTGACAAATTAAGTCATTTTTATTTCAATTTTTACATTTCGATCTAGAATGCCATGGATTGTGTAAATCGTTTTACCCTCAATCAAATAACATGGGAAAAATATTAATTTGAGGCTTATGACTTCGCAGTCGTTGCAAGAATCGTTTAGAAGCCACAAATATGATTTTTTCCTGTTAACTGATTTTTTCAAACGGAAAGGGATGGCGGATGGCTCGTCGGCTTTTTGAGGAAGATCATTTTCCTACGAATAATTTGATACCACACACTTCCACTTTATTTTCACTATTTTTCTGAATAATTGCAAACAGCAATCATATCTACTAACAAATAATAAGTATACAGTATGCAGTATGCTTAATATAATATGTGCTATGAGTCCTGTTCTTCTGGTTATTCGTGACAAACAATAATTGAGGCTGTTGCTAAGACTCATAGCATAAGTATATCGTATATATACGTATATTTTTGGTAAGTAGGCAAGTAAATATGTCAAAAAAATAATACACAGCCCCTAAATTTAGATTTTCCATCTTAAAAAATAAAAAAGTTATAGGGTTGAGCCACCTTGAAACATCATCCGATATACAGGGTGTCAATTTGAAAACTTCCCACCCTCAATATCTCCCTCCAAGTCGATAATATGGAAAAACGAAAAGACAGGTCGATTTTATTTTCGAGGGGGACATGGTTCTAAAATATTTTCAGCCCCGCGGCGTTGCCGCTTCTAACGAAAAGAAGCAACAACTTTGTTATTTCAAATGGAACACCCTGTATTTTATTGCATTTTTAGATTCTCACTGAAAATCTGATTTTATCAATGTATCACACTTGGGGTCTAGCAGGAATGATTACAGAGATATAGGGTGTTCAAAATCGAGATTTTACAACTTTAGGATTTTTTTGAGTCGAAACTATTCATTATTGGTCAAAACGGCTTTCATGTCCCTATCTCAACTTTTGATTTACTATCTACTGACATTTATTTGAAACAAATACAGGGTGGTTCAAGATTCAGACTTTTGATCCCCCTGTATTTGTTTCAAATAAATGTCAGTAGATAGTAAATCAAAAGTTGAGATAGGGACATGAAAGTCGTTTTGACCAATAATGAATAGTTTCGACTCAAAAAAATCCTAAAGTTGTAAAATCTCGATTTTGAACACCCTATATCTCTGTAATCATTCCTGCTAGACCCCAAGTGAGATACATTGATGAAATCAGCTTTTCAGGGAGAATCTAAAAATGCAATAAAATACAGGGTGTTCCATTTGAAATAACAAAGTTGTTGCTTCTTTTCGTTAGAAGCGGCAACGCCGCGGGGCTGAAAATATTTCAGAACCATGTCCCCCTCGAAAATAAAATCGACCTGTCTTTTCGTTTTTCCATATTATCGACTTGGAGGGAGATATTTAGGGTGGGAAGTTTTCAAATTGACACCCTGTATATGAAATGGTTGTTGCTTTGTTTGTGAATGAATCTGAATTGTTTCCTCGATTGTTTCAAGATTTTACCCAATTTTTCTAAGGATTTTCGCTCAAATAAAGAGGAGCTGAGCTCATCTGAATGAGAAATATTGTCACTTGTCAGATGCTTAGGGTGTTGAAATGTTCTTGAAACGACTATATAAATAGCTCATTATACTCACAAAGTGATCATAAAATGTCAAGACTGAAACTTGCCACAGTAGAAGTATTCTAAAGTCGTTGGAAGTGTATATTCCTGCAGAATGAAACTTTTTGATGTCTTACTCAAAACTTCATCAGTATGGAAGTTAAGCCATCAAGTTCGATGAAATGTTATAGTCCATTCTGAAGGTGAACCACTTGACACAGCTTATATTCTTAGATGATTGATTGATAATATTGATATCCCCGTGTATTTAAATAAAAATTCATTATTTCAATATCTATAGTTATCGTAGTTATACTTGTAGTTAGGACGAATCAGATGATCTACCCCAATGCGCTTGAAATTCACATCAGAAGCCTAAGGGAAAAATTCAATCGATAGTTAGTGATACCTAATTAGAAAAATATATATTCTGATATTTTTTTTTAACTAGACGGCTCTTTTTGACATATTTGGAAAAATCTACTGCAACTTCATTATTTACACTTTCGTAATTTTCGTGATTTTCTGAATCCAATGATACCTTATGGTTGACTACTATTTTTTGATCTAGATGGCCATGAACATTCCTAAAATTATTTCTGTGCGGAAATTCGGACTAGATTTCGCGATTTGTTAACGAGATAAGAATTATGCCATCTGATACCAATTGAATGGTAGATCTCTAAAACCTACCTCTCAGTCCAAGCCAAATCCACGGCACAGCGATTTTTTTGCTGCTTGCTGCTTAATCTAGACATACTTCCGTCATGTGATAAAAAGTTCGAACAAAAAGTTATTAAAAGAGGATATTGTCCCCTTCGCGAATATCCAAACGTGCCGCGATTCAAACCGATCTAAGTTAGTGGCAGAGCGTCAATATTTCCGAGAATATTTCGCCCCTCTCTAGAGATAATACCCGATGGACCAGTGTAAATCTCAACATGTAGATCAGAATACCTGTAGTGTGAACACCACATGAGTTTTATACTGATCGCTCTGCCACTAACTCAGATCAGTTGCACATTTGGATATTCGGAAAGGGGACATTATCCACTTTTATTTGCTTTTTGTTTCAAATCGTTTGGATTTGGCTTAGGCTGGTGGGTAGCACAGGTAGATTTTTTAGATCTACTATTCGGTTGGAATCGGATGGCATAATCTTCATCGCGTTATCAAATCGCGTGTAAATTTTCGCACAAGTGAGTGCAAATTTTCAATCATTTTGCTCAGGATAGTGATTGGCACAGGTGCCGTTCAATAGATTTCAAGATTTCAAGATTTATTCAAAGATTTGATGATACAGTATAACAAATTTTTTTTTTGGTAGATTTTCTTTTCTCCTGTGAACATGAGCGAAAAACGCCTAGGCAACAGGCTGCCTGTTTTGTATTTCTCCCTCATGAAGCATGGGAGGGTTATGTTAAAATACATAACAAATGTTTTATTCTATGAACAAGAACAGTGCTTTTCTATACTTATGATTATTGGAAAGGGAAAGAGGAGAAGATGAGTGAAAGATTGAGATGGCATTTTTTTTTCAGAAAATTTTGAATACAGATGCATTGTGAAGCATAAATTGTTTGAGAGCAGTTTTGAATTGTTTCATTTTATTTTTGTTTTTTGAACATTCAGGCAGAAGGTTATACGGTTTTGGTCCGGAGTAGAAAACAAAACGTTGTGTATGGCTCTTTTTATATAGAGGAATTTGAATAATTTTATTCTCACTGGATCGGGTTATCCTCGAACTTTGCAATCTGAAATTATGAATATTTATGTACATCCAGATTAGGGACCGATAAGTGTATGAGAACCTTATGTCAAACACATTTGTTTCCTTATACAGTATCTCTGTTGAAAATAGTTTACGTTTTCTCGTTATTATTTTAAGTATCATGTTTTGTGCTGATTGTAGGCTCTTTATCGTATTATTGAAAGTACCGCCCCATGCTGTTATGCAATAATTTATTATTGACTCTACTAATGAATTGTATAAAATCATTAGATTTTTTCGAGAAAGAATATCTCTGAGAACATAGAACTTATGCATGAGTAGCCTCATTTTTTTTGTAATATATAAAATATGTTCATTCCACCTCATATACTGATCCAGAATGAGTCCTAGATATTTGATAGATTCAGTTTTCTCGATTTTAGAGCAGTTACAGTTTTCTCCATTTTTACAGCTAGGTTTGTGGATACTTATCTTTGATGTATCAGGTTGGTCAGTAGAAGTTGAAGAGAAAGTCATAAATTTAGTTTTTTTCACATTGAGACTTAACAAATTGTTATGAGCCACATATATATGTATTTCATGTTAGTTTCTGCTGTCTTATAAACATCTTTCCAGTTATCACCTTTGAATAATATTGCTGTGTCATCAGCATAACATATTAAATGCCCTTCAAAGCCATTTATTCGAGATATACTGTTGATGTACACAAGAAACAGTATCGGACCCAATACTGTACCCTGCGGCACACCAACAGTAATATACTGACCAGAACTAAGTTTTTCTCCAATTTTCACCTTTTGTAGTCTGAGTGATAGGTAGTTTTTTATTAAATTCAATGCTATTCCTCGTATGCCATATTTATATAATTTGTTCAACAAGGCGTCATGTGATACGGTGTCGAATGCTTTTGCTAAATCCAAGAAGACGCCGAGGCCGGGATAAACTACAATGTTTTTACATTTCTTTGGGATCTATATCATTTCGTTATCAGATCACGGTCGATATTTGCAGCCGGCTCTCCTACTATTAAGAGAAATTACCATCAGACATTTGCATACGAATATGTTTGAATTTGGCGTGTAAAATATCGTTTCCAAGAGTACACCTACACGAATGCAAAATTATTATGGTCAGTCTTCCATTCTTGTTTCACAGGTTCCACGTTTCTGAATCACATAATAATGTAGAAGGTTTTGAGAAAATCAACCGACAACATTTGGGGAACAGGTGTTGAAGTTTATAGGAATGAAAAATGGCTTCTAAATCTGTTTTTATGCCATGTGAAACATAACCATTTCTCTCCAAATTCCAATTTCACGCAGAGTCCAATAATGTCATTGTCAATTTTTATTACCAATTTGATTCG